GAAAAATATTATGGAGAATTTATTAAGAGAAAGCAGCGATACGAGGTGTGTTCAGAAAATATCGGGAATTTTCGTTTTTTGAAACAAATATTTATTTATTCGTCTACATTAATGTTGTCGCCTTCAAAATACTCCCCATTGGATATTATGCACATGTGCCAGCTCTTTTTCCAATACTCGAAACACTTCTAAAACTCGATCTTTGGGATAGCCTTTAGTTCTTTCAGCGATGCGCTTTTAATGTCATCTATGCTTGCAAAACGACGGCTCTTTAAGGTTCTCTTTATTTTTGGGAATGGTCAGACAGAGGCACGTCTGGCGAATATGGAGGCTGGGGCATCATTACAGTATTGTTTTTGGCAAATTTAACAATTTTAGAACAAATTTTGCTGCCACGCGTTTTATACCCAAAACATTCGAAAAAATTTCATGGGATGAGCCAATCGATATACCAACATCATCAGCGACTTCTCTGATGGTTTATAACCATTTCTTCCACTTTTTCCATGTTTTTATCGGTTGTTAATGTGCTTGTGCGTTCGGGGCGTTCGTCATCTTCAACGTCTTCACGGCCATCTTGGAAACTCTTATACCACTTGTAAACTCTTGTTTTACTTATAGCAGACTCACTATAGGCCTTTGTTAACATTTCACAGAATTTATTTCATTTTTTAAGCAAAATTGGATACAAATTCTTTGATCCATTTCTTTTAACGAACGAAAAATCGCCGAGCTCATGAAACACGTCTAACCTTAGCGGCTGCCACAGACAAAGTAAACAATGAAAACAGCTAAAGTTTTTATCATACTTCGGGGGCATGTATACCAATATAATAAAGAAAATTTTATGACAACCGGACCCGTCGAACCCGCGAATATTAACATTTCCCGTTATTTTCTGAACACACCTCGTATGTTTTGTTATCTTATTTAATTTGTAGCTGACGAGACGCCATTGATTAATTTTACTTTCTTTCAAGGTCCACGCACGCATTTTTTTAATATTCATTAAACTATAAAATTTATCCATTTATATATGTATGTATGTATGAAGTATTTATGTTGGTATTTATAATCCGTGTGGCTGTAGCAAAGAAAGTTTGTGCATAATTAATTATTAAAGACAATTTTACTTATTGCTCTAATTGTTAGATAAAATGTTGTATCTCGAATTTTCATATGCTCTGTTAAACTTGAAATTTACTTTTAGTTATTCGAATCTCGTTTTAACCTCCAACACGTGAACGCATTTTTAATCCGTTTTATATTTTCCATAATTGCTATTTAAAAACCTATCCATTTCAAATATACAAAGGGATGTTTAAAAAACATGCGAAATCCTAACCTCCGTTAAGCTATCTTCCGTGAAGCTCTAATATTCAAAATGTATGATTTCTTGAATTGAAAACTCAATATAATTTTATAAATAGATTTATTTCAGTGTTTTTATTGAATAACCCGTAAAATTTAGAGAGTATACTCTCTAAATTGATTATATATAATCAAGACAGGTTTAAATAAAATACAAATAAACTGAATAGTATATATTTTATTAAAAACACCAGCAATAAAAAATTTCTTTTATATTACTGTCCGTAAATTGGCAAATAATATAAACACCTATATACAAAATATCACTTGTGCGTAAAATATAAAAAGTGCTATTATATAATGTTGTTAAGAAAAAATTCAAATAGACATCACAATTGAAAAAATGCTATATAAGCTTTAGTTTTTGTAATTTTTTTTCGTGTCCAAAAAGTTCCTAAATATTTTTTTTAATAACCTGATGACATTAGGAAAACCCTGTGTTTACAAAGTGAAAACGAAGGTATTTAAAAAGCACCAAATTCCCTAAAACCTTAAAAACTAAAAAGGAACAATATTGTTACAAATAACCTCTGTAGGCCTTAGACTTCTCAAATAATTACAACAATAATATTATTGTAATAATTATTATAATAACTACAATACATAAAATTTACATTTATATTAAAAAATTTCAAAACAGGTTATTTTAAAATGTCTGTGTAAATTTTCTACTACTATAATAATTATAACAATTATTCTCAACAGGATTTTTAAATTATTTCGGCGTTTAATATTTACTTTAATTTTTATTAACTACATTTGATTACCGTGGGAAATCTATTTACAACAAGTTTATTTCATATTCACTTAAGTGACGTAATAGAAAATAATGTTAGTTTTTATGTAGGTATACTTATAGTAATAATAAATGTAAAACTGTAGCAATTTCTTTAACTTTTACCGGGCTAATTACAGACTACTTTTTACTTTGTTTCAGTTTATAAATATCGAAATTTGTGAAATTGTAACAATAATTATACCGAAATCGTGTCAAGATATGTTGTTTTAGTTTTTAAAAATTAAAGTACACAGTATATTTTATAATTTCTATTTTATCTAACTAATAACAACAGGTAGAAAAATATAAAATTTAATTTTCATGACCAACAAAAATTATAAATATGAACTAATCTATAATGTTTTACATTGTTTATTTATAACATGGACATGGTTAAAAAAATTATTAATTCATTAAACTGGTCAACAGCATTTTTGCCACATTATGGGTAACTAATTTTATGAGCTAATTTGGGGTATAATGCGATTTGGCTAATTTGGGGTCAATATACAGGGTGTCATTTAACTTGAAACTATTTTTTAAATAATATTTAAGTTTCCTTTGGTTAAGTTTTATACATTATTTCATTCGGTGATAATTATCAATTGCGCACCATGGTCACTTTTTACCTGCCAGCATTAAATCCTTTAATTTAAAAGTTTATTGTACTATTTTTAATAAAAATACCTCATTTAAGGTAAAAAAACATTGTTTTGTCAATTAATTAATTTAATCGTAATTGAGGTATAAAAAATTGTATTTATATTACTCACCCTGTATATATAAAATCAAAGGAATTATCGACATAATTTTGTTTAATGACCCCAAATTAGTAAAATTTTTTTTATTTGTGACAAAAACTTTATGGGTTACTGTTTTGGATGTAAAGCTTATTTATATTAGTTTATATTTAGTAATCTATGATATTCCTAATAGGTACATAATATGAAATATTGACAGTGGAATCAATTAATTTTCGAAGCCCTAATCTCACTGTTTTGCCTTATTGGACTTAATTTTATTTTAAACGTTATCATAAACGACAAAAAATAGGATTAAAATTAAATAACAATTTTTCATTATGTAATATTTGTTTGGAAGAGGGTATATTTTTTAAATAGAATTTAATTAAACCACTCAAACAATATTTTATGAATTTTAGATAACAAAATAAATTAAATATATTAAGAAAACAAATATTAGAAATAATCCCTAACACCAAAGTTTTATTTATGTTATTTTTACCTATTTTAATATCCCGTAAGTTTCAACACTTTAAGTATTATAAGAGACGTAATTTTTACGAAAGAAAATTACTTATAAGTGTATTTCACCTAAAGGAAAATTTAACGGTAATTTTAACGTCAGAATTTTTACTTAATGATAAATGTTACTCATAAGTCATAATTTTACTATATTAAGACCAATTTATAACCGTAAATATATCCTATTCGCCTGGTATTTTTTAGGGTTATTAGTGGTAATAAATACCATTAATATTGACTAAACAAGGAAAGTTTTGACAATTTAAGTTATATTTTTTAATTTTACTCTACGGTGGTCTTTATTGCTTTGTAAGTACCATTTTGTAAAATATAAATTATAATAACAAAAAAAATTACGAATGTCAATGTTTTAGAAAGAGAGAGCAAACAGTTAGTAATTATGGCGTTATTTTTACGTAAATTTGTGATATTTATATTGTCTTTATCAGGTTATTCTCTTGGTAGATCAAATAGGTTATAATGTAGGTAAAATGTAGTAAATTTGTAGTTATTTAAACTTAAAATTCTGCTTGGGTACTATGCTCCACACCTCAAAGTCCCACCACGTGACCACGTACGGAACGCAGTCTTTTGAAAATTTGGCATTTAAGGCTTTTCAGGTTATGTATCTGTCAAAGTATAGTCAATGAAAGAAATAATATTTATAGTGTTACCGCTTATGTTTAAGCGTTAAAAGTTAATAAATCTTTATAGTATCACAATAACAATGGTTAGTTTAAGAATTTTGGAATATAAATACTGCATTTAATGAAATTTCAAAATGTAAGGTGCAATATATGTGATATTTTTGTGCATTGGGTCTACATTTCTCCATAAAATAGTTTTAACTAAACAGGATTTATTAAAAAAATCTAACTTCTCTATTATGAAATAATCATCAAAGGTAGGTTAATGTATTAGAACAAAAAATATCATCTAATTTTGTATTTTAAGGATAAAAAAATCTATTTTGACCAAAATAAATAAGTGGATTATTTGGAAGAGTGTGTTAATATGGTCATAAATAAATATAGGTATACTAAATAATTGTTGAATATGGTTCAAATTAAATTAAAGCTTTTATACTTCTAACGACAAACCTCTCGGCATACCTACTTTAAGTTAGATTATAAGAAAACAAACAATTTTTAGAGAAACTTGCAATGTGAAAATATTTAATACTCCCATGACATGTGATTTATTAAATTTTTTAAAGTTATAATGATTTTTCGATGTAGATCAAATTCAGTCGAAACTTTTTAAATATTTGTATTGACAAAACTTTATGTAGGTACACTTTAAGCTGGATAAGAAAAACTACCACATTTTTAAATACCATATTATACTGTCGTTTAAATAATCCAAAATACTTAATTATTTTGGTCAAAATAAATTTTTCTAACCTTAAAATTACAAAATTAGATGATATTTTTGTTATAATATATTAACCTACCTTTAATACAGATATTCTTATTCCATGCATTGTTATTGTAATGTTATAAAGATTTATACATTTTTAACGCCTAAACATAATATTATTTCTTTCGTTGACTATACTTTGTCAGATACATAACCTGAAAAGCCTTAAATGCCAAATTTTCAAAAGACTGCGTTCCGTACGTGGTCACGTGGTGGGACTTTGAGGTGTGGAGCATAGTAGCATAGTAAATATTACTTTATGTTTTGTTTTGGGTTTGGGAAATATTTCCAATATTTGTTTAACATATCACCAAAGTTTTTTAAGTATGGAAAAGTATACCTAGTTTGATTTTGATAACTGCAAAAGGTTGTTACCCTAACCGATTTAACTCTAATAATGAACAACATTTAGATTGTGTAATAGGTAAAAAGTGTTTAATCAGACTTTTCTTTAATTTTTTCCAAACGCCCTTTCCATCTATCTTTAACACCACCCCAAGGGATCATCCACTAGGAAGTTTTGTGCTTTTTCTTTGGCTCCCTTTTTCCAGGCCTACCCTCCGACTCCATCATGCTCATCAAGATCTTCAGGTCTTTGTAGTCCAGCTGCAAGTACCAACGTAAAATCGACATCCTACCCAGATGGGTGGACAAACTAACCGCCAGCAATTTTATGTACATCTGTTGGTACCACAATTCATCTAACGTTAACATTGTACGAAATTCAGTATTACCACCTTTACCTTCATGATGACACGGATCTTTAACCAACTTCCATCCCAAAGTACCATAATGACAGACTCTTGAATCATGAGCATGCCAATGAGCCCATAGACTTAAATGCAAATATACCATGGCATGAAATAGTTATTTATGTCATTAGGATGAGAAGTGATACACTTCTCAATACACTACACTGTACAGGGTCCACCAAATACCCTTATATCTACGGATATCGTTTTTATGTCTATGGTATATTTTTTATTTGAAATATTAAAAAATTAAGTAAAAAAACTTGTGAAATTCAAATTCAATTTCCTACAAAAATATGCCTTCTATATTGTTGTATGTCTATTAATTAGTTATATATACAGGGTTTAACATGAAACTTTGGAATATCTCAGAAACACTCACGTGCAAAATAATCGATCCACACAAATTTTCGATGAATTTCAATCGCAAATAACTTTTTTATTTGATGTCGGATTTAAACGAATATTAAAGAATATTGTAGATAAATTAATAGACAATCGCTCACATTTAAAAAAAAATACTAAAAAATAGACGTACGTTTATAATATACAGGTTTAAACAAAATGATGTTTTTTACCATAAGTTTAAGACACTCTGTAGAGTGGCAAAACCGTGTATTGTTCTAAATTAAGTTTTACTTATCAAGTCACATCTATTCTTAACAGTTTTGTTTTTGGTTCACCTCGATATATTTATTTTAGTGGAAAATATGGATTTAAAAAAAAACATTTCAATTCCCAATATTTTTCTGTATGAAGAACTAAGGTTGCTATGGTCCATTCATAGGCTATGGAGAATTACAGTGAAACTTTTGTTGAATCATCCCATTCTTGGACATGTCATATACAGCTTTCAAAAGCTATCAAATTGTTTTTTGCAAATTAATGTTTATATTTTGAGGTGTCTTCTTACTTTAAAAAATGGATATGTCTCCGACTGATGTTCCCAGAGCCATTAATTTAATCCAGGATGGACGGTCACAGTTTTACGTGGCAAGTGTTTTAAACGTCACAAAAAGTAAAGTACAAAGGGCAACATCAGTCGGAGACATTTTTAAAAGTAAGAAGACACCTCAAAATTAACACATTAATTTACAAAAAACAATTTAATAGCTTTTGAAAGCCGTGTATGACATGTCCAAGTATGGGATGATTCAACAAAACTGTCACTGTCATCCTCCATAGGCTATGGATGGACCATAGCAACCTTAGTTGTTCATACAGGAAAAATATTGGAAATTGCAATGTTTTTTAAAAAAATTCATATTTTCCACAAAAATAACTATATCGAGGTGAACCAAAAACAAAACTGTTAAAAATAGATGTGACTTGATAAATAAATTAATTTAGAACAATATACGGTTTTGCCACTCTACAGAGTGTCTTAAACTTATGGTAAAAAAACATCTTTTTGTTTAAACCTGTATATTATAAACGTACGTGTATTTTTTAGTAATTTTTCAAATGTGAGCGAATCTCCATTAATGTATCTACAATATTCTTTAATATTTGTTTAAATCCGTAATCGAATAAAAAAGTTATTTGCGATTGAAAGTCATCGAAAATTTAAGTGGATCGATTATTTTGCACGTGAGTGTAGTTTAGCATTATTTAATCAATTTAGTTCGAAGATTAATTTGCAAACTTAAAGACCTCCTGTCGTTAAGCAGTTATTCATAATAGTTTTTTTAACAGTGGAAGAAAACATTTTTTCGTAAAATGCATACTTCAGAAAATTACCATGAAGTTATATAATTTATTAGATTAATTTGGTATTCCTGATATCGAGACAATTACTTTTTTTATTACGTGATAGAATTTTGGATTGCACGAGAGTTAAAATTGTCAATTATGTGCAATTTTAAACCTCTAGAGTCTAAGTGATTACTAATTAGTCTAGCGTGCCATTTCGTTGTTTGGCAAGTCATTGTGACTAGGTATTTCAAATGGACATTTTCTTAATTAATTTATTTAAAAGCTAGTTCATGTATTTCATTAATTAATTTTATAATGCATTGTTCATTTTATATGGAATTGACTATATCTCAAAAACTGCTCCACTTTTATAATTTTTGACGGTATTTTCTGATTCAGGAGACAATTTTATATAAGATAGTCATTTTTGACTAATTCATTTTTAGAGAGCAAGGAAAAAACTAAAAAACTGGTTTAGTACTCGATTTCGATTGATTATTCTTTATATCATTGGTTAAGAAACTCAACGCTTAAATGCTTATATAGTTACGTTAGTGTGTTTATTTTATCTAAGGGATCATGGTGAATTATTGTGTTTTTAATTGTAATAAAATTCAAGAACTAAATCGTTGCATTTTCATGTTTTGCCAAAGGATCCAATTCGGTAAGTACATTTGTTGGTGCAGAATTAACTAATGATAACTTTACCTAATATAATTTTTATTTAAGTTTGGACATTTTTAAGAAATTAGTAAAAAATAATTTTTGCGCAAACATAACCTTAAAATCATCCATTTTTATGTTTGAGTTCTCTAAAAAACGCCGACAACTGCATTTTAAACAACAAAATATACCTACGAATTCATGGCAACATAATATTATATATAATACATAATATAATGAGTGGAGACTTTAAGGAATTCTTAAACAACGCTTTTAATAATGCTGAATGCTGTTTAAATTGAGACGACTTATTTGTTTGACGATTATTACTGAATCATTACTAAAATGTGTATTATAGCGAACCTTCTTTAGCGTATAGGTAGGCACTATTTTCATGAAACGGGGCAAAAATAGTAGTGTATTTTATTTAATAGATATTATTAAATATGTAGGTAGGTATTTATAACAATATAGAATTACGAGTAAGTTAATTATTACTTTGAGTTAATGGCTATGTATTTGTTCCGATGACCCAGTGGTTTTCATGCAATGTTAGAATTTAACAATGTTAACACCAAATGCCGATACCATCAAATGCATAAAATTAGTGGGTATGATATGGCAACATTATTTAAAGTTTGTATTTATTTTTATATTTATATAAATAAATCCAAGATTTTGATGAAAACTTTAAGTAGGTTTGCCATTGTTTGTTAGGATAAAATTAGTATTTGAAACTATGACATTCAACAAAAAATTAGCGTTTTAGTATTGTAGATGTTAAAAAGCAATGACCACACCACACCTACAAAAACACAAAAGAGGATACTTACTACAAATTAATTTCTACAATACTAAAACAAAAAAGGATATTAAATAATACGCATTTAAAAAACAAAATATCACGTTTATTAGGTTGAATAACAAAACAAAAAATCGCAGTGTCATGTCATAGGAGCAAATTTTTCTTCTAGCGTTCTTATGGGCCTGAAACTTACCAGCATTTCGTCGTCTGGAATCCTGGAAAGCAGGTCAAGAAGCTCGTTGTTGGGTACCGCATGGGGTCGCAGGACCCTTCGCAGGAACTTGTTGGTACCCCACATCATCAGCAGGAATCGAACCGGGATCAAATACAGCACCACGCTGGCTATCATCAGCAGACTGATGGCTATCCAGGACAGGTAGGGTACCGTGAAATTAAAGGTGCTAAAAATGATATTGAGTCAATCCAAATAAAAAAAATTGAGGATGATCTCGTTTTAATTTTTAGTTGCTTTATTTTTAATCGGCACCCTTTAGAAACCTGAAATCGTTTCAATTTCTTACTCTCTTATAAGAGGCTAAAACTTTTTTTCTGTGGCAATTATTGAAAAGATTGTAATTTTATTCTACTGCCTAGTAAGTATGTAATTATTATTATCCAATTAGTTCATCTCATAAAAGAATGGTAGACCACTAAAGATTTGTAATAATTTGCCAATTTTTGTGATTTTTGTCTGGCTCCTGTGCCTATTCTGCTAAATCTAGAAAGTTGCTTTTTTCAGGTATCAAGTACTTATACAATAGAAAACGTAACTATTATTTTAAGTTTCTAGACTATCGTTTCTTTAATTAAAAAAATTATTGAAACTGGATAATTTTCAAAATTAGCCAATTTTGACCTCAGAAATCATTATGTTGAGGAAAATATAAAAATCTGAAACTTTCAGGAAATGTAGTCCCCACCTTCATTTTTCAGTCTAAGTCTTGTTTTGTTATTTTTATCCATGTAAAAGATATAATAATTTTTTTAATGCAGTTAAAAAGCGATATTGTTAGTTTAATTTATAATTTAAAATTTAGATGGCTTTGTTTGGTAGATAAATGTCAGAAGTGTCAAAAATATTTCATAAATATTATTTGTGCGTATTTAAATTGTGATTTCAAAAAGTTTGCAAGTGTTCGAGATTCATGAATTTAATTGCAATTAAAAATGCAAGAACATATCATAATTTTGTACCTCTTTCTCATAGAAAATATTCAAGTTCTGAGAAGTTTTAAATTGTTAAAAATAAGCAAAAACCAAAAAATATTTTAAATAAACATGTTTTATTTTAACGAGTTACCTAAAAACTAAAATTTAAAGAAGTATTTACAGATTGTATAAATTTTTTTCAACACTAACATTTAAAGTACATACATATAACTTTTAACTATTCAGTGCCTTACTAAAGGGATCAAAATAATAGAACAAGACTAACATGGTTTAAATTGTGAAAGAAACCGACAAAAAACTGCTTAACGCATTTTTTATACGTTTAAATTAAATCTTTATTAATTTTACTTATTATACTTTACGATATAAACCATAAGGATCTTGAATATATTTTTTATATTCTTCTTCTTTAAACACCAATTAGCTAATTAAATACTTCATTATAATTTATATAATATATAATAAATAAAATATAACATAACTACCAAATTTATCAGAACTGTCAAAAATATTTTATAATTAATATTTGTGGTATTCCTTTGGTGATTTTAAATTTTTTTGTATATAACATAATATGACATATTATGTTAAAAACAAAATTTACCAAAGAAATACGCACAAATAATATTTATGAAATATTTATGACAGTTCTGACACTTCTCCACCAAACATGAAAGCCATCTAAATTTTAAATTATAAATAAAACTAACAATATCGCTACTAAACGAGCATTAAAAAAATTAATATATCTTTTAAAGGAATAAAAATAATAAAACAAGACTAACTGGACTGAAAAGATGAAGGTGGGGACTGCATTTCCTGAAAGTTTCAGATTTTTATTTTTCCTCAACATAATGGTTTTGAGGGCAAAATTGACTAATTTTAAGAATTATCAAGTTTCAATAATTTTTTTAATAAAGAAACTTAAAATATTAGTTACGTTTTCTATTGTATAGTACTTGATACCTGAAAAAAATAACTTTCTAGATTTAGTAGAATAGGCACAGGGGCCAGACAAAAATCACAAAAATTGACAAATTATCATGAATCTTTAGTGGTTTACCATTCTTTTATGAGATTAATTAATTGGATAATAATAATTTATATCGAAAACACACTTACTGAACAGTAAAACAATCATTTCAATCATTTCAATATTTGTCACAGAAAAAAGTTGTGGCTCACTAGAAGAGAGTAAGAAATTGACACGATTTCAGATTTCTAAAGTAAAGAATTAAAGAATATAGACCTACTTTTTTACGCTTTCCAGAAGTGACGCAATTTTTCCTATGGCATTTTGTACACCTTGCGTTACTTCTTGAATGGCTTGTAGGCGTTCCTTTAGACTTTTCTTCTCTTCCTGCAAACACATTTTAAAAATCACATTAAATTGACATTAAACGGTTGGTGTAGTACTTTTTCTTTATCGTCGTCGTCTTCATCGTCCATATCTGAGTCAGCAACTTCATCCCATGGTACAGCTGTTGGTCCAGCCAAGGCTCTAACCACGTATTGTTTTAAGAACAGTAAAAGACCACCGACTGGCAACATCCACATTTCGAAGTAGTAACACAGTACCAGCCATAGCAATAATGCCGCGAAACTTTGGATTTTGGACTCCCATTCGAAGCAATTTCTAAAAGAATGTGCAATAAGTGGATTGTTGTAAACGAGGTGTAAACAACTCACTGAAACACTTTCCCTACTTCGTAGAAATAAAGAACGAACACCTTCAGTCTTAAAACATTCTTCACGAAAACTTGCCGCTTAAATTTGACCTCCGTCTGCATGTATTTCTCTTCCTTGGGATTCAAAGTCCTTATGCAAGCCCTGATGGGATTCCACACAACATTCAACTCCAACAGAATCTGTGGGCCATTACCTTTGGCTCTGCTACGCAACTTTTTGTCCTTCAACGCGTACCATCTCCTTTCCCCATTCCGTATCCTCAACAAAGGTATGGCTACCTTCCCCAAAAACTCAACTTTGTGGTCGCGGTCTTCGTCAAACACAGTCACCTCTAGCACGTTGTTGATGTCTTTCACGTTGAACGTGAATATCTTGTTCCATTGCGGAGATAAGGTTTTGTATTCTGTCTGCGTTTGTAACCTCGCATTACCAAGCTCGAGAACCACAAATGGGTCGCTTTTGCCGCCTAAATCCGCCGCCGCCAGGCCTGTGGCCTTGAACACTTTCACGGTTAAATGGCCGACGTCCTTCAAGTTGTGGAAGGTTCGATGCCACAGCTACAAAGTCACTTCAATCACAATCTAAGTCTGTACGAAATAAGTTAAAGACTAAAAATAGACAAGCATCAGTGAACCAAAGACATGTGTCAGTAAACTGAAACGGAGTCGTGTATATGTAGTTTTACATTCCGAAATTTAATCATTCTACACTTGAAAACGATCACAGATAGTCGATTGAAACGTTGCGTTATAAAAGAATCAAAGATGAAGATAGTCCAAGACAGTTTATTTCAAAATCATACTTCATCTACCAACCTCAAATCTAAGAAGAACACACCAAGTTACACATATAACTCTTGGCTCTTTGGTTCATGGAAGTCATCACAAAAGTTAGTTGTCATAGAATCATGTTACTTTAATAACGTATGCATCCAAAGTTTTCATGAATTACATCTTTATGATGAACAACAGCTGAATGTGAACTTGTTTTAACTTACCAAAAAGTGGACGACCCAAAGTTTTAAGTGAAGTTCGTGAAGACGAGAAACTTGAAATATCGCAAAAGACGGAAATGCCCAAAATACACGCAGAATCAGCTACAGAGAATTCCGATATGGAAATGACGGTTTTTACACTGATAACCCTGATAGCACAGTTTATTCTAAGAATGTTTTTTAAACCTTCCAGTGGGAATATTCTTAGGATCATGCTATGTTTCTTCTAGTCATGTTTTAAGAATGTTTTTTAAACCTTCCAGTGAGAATATTCTTAGGATTATGCTATATTTCTTCTAAAGAACATGCTTAAAAGAAATATAGCATAATCCTAAGGCCTATAGGCAGGTTCTTAGAAGGTGCAAAGTTTAGTGGTAAAAATTAATCCACTCTAAACATATGCTTAGAATGTTGAGAAAGTAATTGCTATAGAAAGTTCATTTAGGAATATTCCTGGAACATTCTGTTAAGCATATTCAGTTCAGTTAGGTACCTATAGTATAATAGTAAAATATACCATAATCTACGTATAAAGGTACCTATACTTAGTATTAAATACTAAGTAAACAACACAACCCAAAATATTTTTGTATAGTTATTTGTCAAATTAAAACAATATTCGATAACAAACTATAGGTATCTAAATTATCCGGCTTTTACATAAAATCTTCTATCCAACTTAAATACAATGAAAAATGTTTTTTTTTATGAAGAACTATTTGGTTTTTTCTTTTATGAAGAATTATTTTATAAGGAAATATTTTGTATTTTAATATTTTATTTTGTTAAAAATAAATATTTAATAATTTGTATACCGATTTTTTATATCTGAATTAACATTTTTATGTATAATAATCCTAACTATCTTCAACTTCAATCTAATCTGACTTATCCCACAAAATTTTCCAATTTTACTTTTTATGAAATAATGTCATACAACTTATGGTTCAGAGGTCAAATTGTTTATTTAATATTTTTAAATAAATATATATTAATATGTCGCAAATTTTTTTAAGGGGACGACAAATACATTTCACTGTCATATTATGACAGTGAGGCGTATTTGTCGCCTCCTGAAGAATTTTACGAATGTAGAATCCAACATATTAGAACGTGGGTATCTGACATATTTGGAAATATTCTCAAAAGCTTCCTAGAAGCTCCATAAGAACATTCCAAAAACGTATTCTTAAAATGTTCTTAGAATGCTTTTTAGGAAGGTTTTAAGAAGCTTCTAAGAATCTAATTGCATCATTAAAAGGGTATCTATTGAATGTTTTAAAAGTCCCTAAGAACATTCTTAGCAATAAGGGAAGGTTCTAAGAATATTCCATTATTCCGAGTCATATCTTCTTAGAAGATTCTTAGAATCAAATTTTGCTATCAGGGTAGCATCATGCCTTTATGCTCGATTCACCAGAGATTGGTTGGCAGCACATAACATACCTTCTGTGCCCAAGAAAGACAGTCCAGTTAAAGCTTTTTGGTCCTTACTGAGCAGACAATGGTTGGGAAGTCTTAAGCTTGAAGTAACAGCACAAATAGTTTTAAGGGTGCTGTTACAACAACAATAACATCCAATGTGTTACTTGGGGAGGTTTTGCTGCCACAAAGGTACCCGCGACCTCGCTTCGATGCAGTGATGCCAGATTGGGAGCTTTATTTAATTTATTTAAAAATATATAGCTGACTTACGTATCGGCTTTCTAAGATTTCTTTTTCCCTTGGATTTTCTTCGTATGTCGTCAGATCCGATATCGTTTCAGAGGCAGTTGTTCCGCTGATGGTGAGAAGCAAATGCAGAGATCCAGCTCCATCTTCCAGTTCTTTCCACAAGCTGTGAGTTTTTTCACGCTCCAGACCCGCCAAATTAATACCTGTCCTATAATAAATAAAAAAATAGTTCCAAACATCTGGTTACTGGACAATGAGAACTCAGAGGAGCTCTGGATTGGCCTGCCAGATCTCCCGATTTGACCCTACTCAAATTATTTCGTTTTTTTTGGTGTCTCGTACATATAAATAAAGCCAAGTAACACTAATGCTCTCATTGCGATCTCCAACGTCGCTTTAAAGCTACAATAAAACTTTGAATAAAACCAAATGATCATCAAGACAGCCTTAGAAACATCAGATCAATAGATTAGTAGAAAATAGTGTTTTAATTTTAATTTAAAGAGTTTATCTTTATACAAAACATTAATGATACCATTATAATGACCGTTTAATATAAAATTATATATTAAGTTGTTTGTGCTATAATAATTACCTACTTGATTTTGCAGTCGAAAACCTTTTAAAAATGAATGAAGACTAATAAGGGCAATTAAAAATTAAAAAACAAACAATGTTGCAATATTGACAAATTTAAAAACATAATTACTTACTTAAAAGTGTGCAAACAAGTTTAAAAAATAAATATTTATTGCAATAAAAGACAAAAATAAGTTGTTTACCTTCCAATAAAATCATCTCTGGATCTATCCTTGTCCCACACAGTGATTTCCAATTGTTGGTCGCCATCGTCATATAGATGCAAATCCAACTGCTCTATCCAACGAGGATTCAGAGACCGCCAGACTATTCTACTTTTGTACTTTTCGTTGCCCAATCTAACAAAACAACTTTTTTTTATTTGGAGATCCATTTCATAGCAGTAGTAATAAATATCTGATTGAATATGTTAATAAACATATTTAATCAGATATTATGAAGTTATTATATCCCTCTTCACAAAAATCAAAATGTCTACCTAAACTTAACGTATGGATCAGAAGTTCCCGTCTCGGGATCACAAGCCAAGAGATTTTTTCCCTCCACTAGAACTATCGTTACCACAGAACTCCATATTTGCGATTTCAGTCGTTTGTTTACGTCCTGTATTCTACTGTTTCTTTGGAAGTACTAAAAATAATTTAAATCTTTCATTTAATGTACAGAGTTGTCCATAGGAACCCTTAATTATTTGAGAATCAATAAAAAACGTTAAAATATTATTGTTTTTCTTAATAAACTACAATAATCTCCTACATTGTCATTATTTTTTTTGTTTATAACATTATCAAAAAATAAACAGTATTATAGTAATATTACTTTTTAGTGTGTTTAATAATATTTTAACGTTTTTGATCGATTTTCAAATTATTAGAGTTTCCAATTTGTATCAGCTGCAAATTGATGAATTATACAATTTTTTTTCTTATTTTCAAAATTTTAAAAATGACAAAAATTACGAAATTCGGAATTTTCTTGGTAAAATCGAAAAAAGTGAGTTATGAACAATTTTGACATTTTTGTACATATTTTATGAAAAAAAAAATATATATATATATATATAATGTTATTACATTATATATATATATATATATAATGTTAATATATAAATATATGTATGTATGTATGACCAGGAAAACTTCATACAAATAATTTTGAGATGTATTTATTATTTATTTAATGATTCGCAATAGTTTTATAATTTTAATGAGTTTTAACTAACTTCAATACCTATTGAACAAGTTTTATACAATTGTTATTCGTATAGCACTTGGTGGTTAACCAAAATGTTTTTTAGAATAAAAAGTATCCTAAATTTGAAATGCAGTTACCCTGTGTATTGTTTGGCTTTTGTTTTTGATTTTGTGTCCCAGTCTTTCGAGAATATTTGGGTCTTCTTCCAGGAGAGAATTTCCAGAAAATGATCTGTCATCAAAATCGTCTAAAAGACTGTCGCAGGACGAAGACAGCTTGGTTCGGGATGTGGAAGAGCTTTCTCTAAATTAAACACGTCAAGATTAGTTTTGCTGTTCGTAATATTAATTTTACGTTGTTATTTTTAGCCTGGGAAACGTGAAACGGATCATATTTGTTTAAGTAATGACATTATTTTTATTTACAGGATAAATTTTTTTTACTGTTAATAAAATTCTCACTTACTATAATGAAGTAGCAATGTTGAGCTTTCATAAAAAAATGTTTATCCAACTAAGTAATATTGTCATGGCAATAAGAAATACTTTATGTTTATATTAAATCTTTGTCGAACTTAAAATGTTTTTGTTAAATCTATAGTTGTGTGTGAATTGAGCTTACATAAAGTAATGCGCAGTTGTTATAGTAAAATTTGTTCATTTTACTATGCCATATTTGTCTTTTTTAAATTACTATCGTTGTAATTCAAATTAATTTTATTTCAGTTAGAAAATCTTTGTTAATAGCTTACGTTAAGAACAATAACAAACTTTTTTAATATTTACTATTGTTTTGCAATGGTAACAACATTTTTGTTATTTCCCTTAAAAAGAGGGGGAAAGGGCCAGCGCTCTCCTTGGTGAACATAACTTTATAATCCACAGTCTGTGTTATAATCTTATTGAAATATTTAAGGTCTATTCTATAAACGAAGCAGACTTGTTGTTTAAAAAGTAACTTTGTATTTTTTTGTTATAATAAATAATTTGTTTTAATGCCTTGCAATTATTTAAAAAAAAGCTACCCAACACCCAACAGTAGGGTGAAAATGTGACCAATGTTACAATGAAAATAGTTTATTGAATTAACAATTAATTTGTTGTTAAATTTACATAAATTTTATTAATATTAAAAAAAAGTTTTATTTTAAACGAAAAGGGATTTGTAAAATTTACAAAATTTCTATGAATAATACCATTAGGGTTTCATTAATACTACAAAACGTTTTTGTAAACGGTATAGAACTGTTTTTTTTTTGGACAAATAATAATAACTATATTAATCAATGCGTTTCTGCATCTGCTAGAGTGTTATTTTTATAAACATAACGTAAATTTACTTTATAATTAATGCAAATTCTATTACTGAAAGCAGCATTTGTAGATAAATAATTTTTATAAAAATGATCTTTTTGTCGTAACAAAAGCATTTTTTAATTTATTTCAAACGATATAAACAATAAATTTAGACGATGGCAAAATAAAAAAACAGACAATATTTTGGAAAATAACGGACTTACCAGTAAAGGTTAATAAAAAAAACTGATTAAACTGCTTCCTGGGGGGGTATTAAAAATGGTAAAATCAGAATATTTGAAAACTGGTTTTAATTTAAAATTTATAAATATTTATGCTAAACAGACACTAAATTTATTGGTATAAAAAATTGCATAATTCAAATTTATTATGTACATATTTAATTGTTTTTCTACCCCACTAAATCTTTTTCAAAATTTTTAAAGAAAAAATCTTTTTTTTTTTTTAATTGACTATTTGGAACGTTTTTTTTTCTAAATTTAATTTTGAGTGTGCTTTTCAGATTTTTTTTTTTATAGAAAAGTCATTTTTAAGTTTGCCTTTTTTATTATTTTTTTTTATAGAAAAACGATTAATACCGCTTTATTAAAGAAAATAAACAAACGATTCAAAAACAATTAAAAAATTAAAATTTTCAATCAAAATAATATCTGGATTTAGCAGCATTATTTGCAAAATAACGAAAAAAAAATTATAAAAAAAAGGAAAAAAATTAAAAATAGGCATCAACTTTAAAAAAATTATGGTTTTTATCAAAAAACTGAAAATTTTTATGGAATTTGACAAAAAAATTCTCGTATTTTTTCTGAAAAGAAAATTTAAAAAAACGTACCATTCAGACAATATATAATAGTATATTATGTATCAAGTTTGATAAACGCTATTTTATACACGAATTTAATTTAGGCACGAGCGAGCTTGCGAGCGAGTGCTTAAATTAATGAGTGTATAGAAAAGTTTATAAACGAGGTGCATACTATACTTTTTCTACGGCAAATACTTATTATTATCTTAAAATGATTTAAATCAAAAATTTGTATAGAGCGCCATCTATGAAACAATAGGGGAATCTGTGTGTCACCGTCAAATGTCACATTTTTTTATTTTATAAACACAGATTATAAAGGTTATAAATCGAAATGTATTTCTTGAAAATTGTCAGTTTTTCACAGTGAAAGTAAAGAAAATGTTTTATAAGGACTTTACAGTGGAGTCCGTGCCCGAATTTAAGTTATAGTTTACTGCCGGCGAAATTAAAAGGTCAGTACAATGTCCATATGAACTAGAAAATGTTGGATTATTTCATCAAATGTAAATTACTTCAAAATAAATTAAAATGGAATTTTTAAATTTAAACAAAAGTATTTAAAAAGTACAAATTAACTACTAGATAGTTGTTTTCTATAAATATACATATATGATAATATTTCATATATAATGAACAAATTGACATTAAAGAAATTTAAAAAAAAAACGTCGATGGTATTTAAAAAAAAATTGGTATTAAAATAAATTTATTATTATTATTAATAATATTAATGGTTACTGTTTTATTTTCCCCCTGTATAATTAAGTTAAATTATCGAACGATAAGCACTATCGTTACTTGTGGTTTTTTCCTGAGGTTGTAAAACCTATCTACACGTTTAAAATACATTATTTTAAATTAACAAAATTAATATATATAATGTTAAAAAATTTCCGTTTATGTGGCTCATACTTTAAAATAAATGAAAATGGAAAATATTTAAAAAATATTAATTAAGTACTAGAACATTTTCTATAAATATATATGACACAATATTTAATTAATAAGGAACAAATTGACAATAATTTGATACAGACTATTTAATTTATTATTTAATATCTTACCTAGTATCAGTACTTGTGAAGCTTATATTGTCAGATTCCCCACAACTATCCAGACTAGTATTTGATCCTTTAATCATCATTTTTCTCAGTTGCACTGATAATCTGTCGTTATCAACGGAAGAAATTTGATGAATGGACTCGGTTAAGTCATTCTGAAATTTGCTTTTTAAATCACCCAGCCTCGTCTTTATTTTACGCCTGATGCGACTGGTGGAGGTGTATGTCAACATTTTTCCGAAATAATTAACACCTAACCCTTCATATCAAATCTCACTTTTGTTACACTAAACTGTAAACTGAGTCTATAATGTTTGTCCTCGAGTGAGGTTAATTGTTCTAATATTTGACGCATTGTGTATGCATCATTAATTATTGCTTATAAAAACTGGGTTTCTGGATATATAAATTATCCATTGGTGAGCACAAAAAAACAATACATTAACTTAAAACTTTTTTTAAATTTAAAACTTCACATCCTGGTTACCAAATCACTTCTGATGTCGACACATGTGCAAATTTTGGCTTACGAAAATCTCGCGGTTTGTATAAATAGTCAAACTGGTTCTTGTTAACTCGCTGATTGTATCCAACTAATTGAAAGCATAGAACGCGATAAAGTAAATAAACAAAGCCAAATTTGTTTGCACTAAAATATCGTCGCTACATTACTAAATAACGCACTTAATTCCCCTTTTAGCAAGGAATATTAGGAATAAACTAAAAAACAATTCTACGTATTTTCGCGGTCGAACTTGGTGACTCATTGCCATTATTATAATGCGTTATCACTCAATTTCGAACTTGACATTAATAACTCTGGGTGTCACTTAATTTTATAGCTATAAAAAATTCGCTGTTTGTTAAAATAGCGTCGAACATGCCTAATGTTTTTTCCACATTTAACACGAAAAAATAAACAACATGTGATGCCAAATACAAATCAATAGACGCAATAATTTTTAAAAATATTTACCGATTTAATCAATATTTAGTTCGTCAAAATAAAACGACATTTGGTTAAATAATATATTTGCTTCACTAAAGCAAAATTAATTGCTAAATAAATATTTATTAACTCATAATTATTGTTTAAATATTTAAATGTAAATGTAACAAAATAACGAAACAAAAAAAGCATATGGGTGATTCTACAAAAGTTGGACAACTTGATGTCATCATTCAATAGAGTAGGTATTTTAATATTTTAGTATATTACAAAAGATCCAGGTTTTTTTAACTTGTCCACCCAATTTTAATGTATTTTTTCAAAAGCACGTTTGTAGAAAAACATAATAAATATTCAAAACATTAGTACCTTGGCGTGATTTTATTTTAAAATATATTCAATTTATCTCAAATTTTTCAATTTCACTACAAACTATAAAACATTAAATAATGCATTGTTCATATTTTATCATAGATTCGAATAATAGCAATTTTTTAAAAATTTATAATCTTTGTGCTCACTTTTACCCGTCAGTTCTGTGTCCAATGTTAAAATTCAAAATTCCTGCGAAATATTGAAGTTTAAACGTCAAGTCCTCGTTTTAACTCAAGTGTTGGTAAAAAATTACCTACAGAGCTCACCCTTTGCACGACAGTCATCTTGAAAACAATGCAAGCGGCGAAGTTGTGGTGAATGCACGTATAGTTACAGTCAAAATTTCAGTACTGTGGTGAGTAGTTATTTTCTTACGTATATATATTTCATTGTAACTTATACTCGTATAAGGCTATATGTGATTTGTTGATAAGTCGCATCCACTAATAAAAAATATCAGTAAAATACTTAATTCCGAATTATAACCTCAAATTTGTATCCCATTCATCAGTTCCATGTTAGATGTTTCGGTTATCTTTTTTAGCAAACTTCAATTCAAATTCTGCTTGCGCAGAACTTGTTTATTTAATGTCATTATAAACTTATATAAATTTGGTGTGGGTCCCATGTCTAATAATTGAGATATCGGTATACCCAAAATCCACCAGCCGCCACTGATGTGTGGTATTATTTGATTTTAAGATATTTAATGTATAATATGCTCAAAGTTGCAATAAATCTTATATTTTCCAATGAATTATGTATTTAATTAGTACCCTGGTATACTCGTCACTTCCCTTGCATTCAAATTTAGAAAACACAGATATTTCAGAAACTGTTTGAAAAAGTGACTGGCCCGGTCTGGAACAGTATATTTATTATATTATCCATGTTCTCATAACAAAATACTGTTTAATTTTCTCCGAAAACTTTATAAACAAAATGAGGTCAAAAGTTGCCCAACTTTTGTAGAATCACCCATATATGTGTTTAAAATGCTTACTTAAAAGTTACAAATTTGGCAAATGCGCCGGGATTGCAAGTCGTAACTGTTATAATTTTGATTTTATTCCAGTTAATAATAATACTGGCTATAATCTACATGCATATTGTTTATGAAATGTCTTCTTTCAGATATAATAGTCTTTATACTCTCCACACAACAAGGTCTGTTCTTTAGCAGTTCGCGCAGACTGAAAATCACAAAATACTTGCCGCCATATTGTTTGTTTGTTTGTTTATTGGGTAGATTTTGATTTGGTTTAATTTTGTGCCTTATTTGCCTTAATACAGACTTATAAACGTTGTTAGGTGTTTGAACCAGTTATTTAGTTGTTTATTTGTGTTTTGACTGTACTAGTGTAAGTACCTTTTTGAACCTCAATTGTGCCAATCTTGTGTTTAACCAGTAAGTAAATTCTAATTCTAAAATATTAGGACGTTTTTTATAACTCTTGGTATAAAAAGTAAAAAAAGGGCAAGTAAAAACCTTATAAAAGTTTAAATTAACTGGTAAAATACATAAATATATATTTTTAATTTTGACAGATTAGAGGTTTTAATTTGTTCCATGATTTGTTTCTATAATAAACCATCGAACCTATGAACAAATATAATATAATAACTATAATTTCGGGGAATTTAAACTACGATAACGGCCGGTATCAAACTTCTATTTCGGGGATTTTAAAATACCCGCCACAAGATGGCGGCAAGTGTGTGGATTGTGCTCTATGGTACAAGCTATTACGCACATGCGCATGGTGCATTGTTTTGGCGGGATCACTATAGGGGAGATGCAATCTGACCGCGAGGAATAAGTGTCTGTGGCTGTAGTGCTTTGTTTATTTGTTGACATCTGCTAGCTCTAATAGCTGGCAATTGTTAAGGGTAAGTTTTTGTAATAATTATACATCATGATACGAGCATAAGCCTTAGTTTAATAAAGGTTTATACCTTGATCTTGGAACAGCACAATGAGCTGAGCACGTGGACGCAGATGCAGGTACACGAAAACTGTTTTTATTGATTCCCATTATAATAATTTATTAATTTTACATTATATAATATGCGTAAATGTACTGGGTGAACTACATAAGGTGACCCATATACTTATAAGTATAATATATTACGTGGTTTACAAGGATATACTTAGGTATCTTAGAAACTACTGTAGTCACGAAAAATAATCGCAAAAATTGTAAAAATTAACCAATCAAGAGCAACATTATTAAGAAGTGTGGACATGGGAACATTTAGTTTAAAATTGTTTATTATTTATATTCTAAATTAAACTATATTTTATTTATTTATATTAATATATAATAACAATGTTAATATAATATTAAAAATATACTACCTACATAAATTTTTGTTCTGTACACATTTTTTGGGACAGTAGTTTCTGAGATAAGTATATGGGTCCCCTTACTTGGTTAACCCTGTACCTACCTACATATATATAATACATATATTCCCCAATAATGTATTCTATGGCGCGCCGTTTAAGCATTTATTGGATAATAGTTTGAAGATTTTAATTTAATTAAAATTATCGATTTTAATCAAGGAATTTTAATAAAAAATCATGATAAAAATTAATTAAAAAATAGCCCCCTAAACAAAAACAAACGATTTTACTGAAAATTAAAAGAATACATTTTCCAAATAATAATTTTAAGAAATTGCACTGACACGCTGTGGGGTTTTTGTAAGTAGGAATATTTTTACGCTTGTTTCATATTCTCCATTGGTATTCTTTGTAAGTTTCGTTTACTTCTGTTCTATTACATACCTAATTATGTTTACTTATGTTTTATTTATTTCTTGTATCTGTTTTTTATAATAAAAGTATAAAATTTATAAAAGTTGAACTTTTTATATAACGACCCTTATCCTGTCAGCAAGTATAATAATTCTTATGAAAAATGCATAATTTCGTCCATAAGACATATTTTATTAAAGTAACTAAATTGCTAATAAAGAGAATAAACAGAGTTTGTAAAAAGTATTAGCCACTACATTAAATTAATAAGAATTTTCAAATACACATAGCAATCTGAAGTTATACTGGCTAAAAAACATTTAATACTCGATATAAAGCGGGTTTATAGTATTTAAGATTTTGATTATATCCACTACAACATCATTTTATGGTGGCAGCATATCGATTTTATAAGAGATAATAGTATGTCTAATAACTGTTACAAGATGTTTTAACAAAACCGAGTTCATACTGTCTATGAACTAGTTGGCTGTCCTAATACTAATAGAGAAATCTTATAAGGAGTGTAGTTTTGTAAAAAAATTAATGTATGAAGTTTTCCTGACATTTTACTTGGGATGGTAACATGTTTATTATGATATTAATAAAAATATCTACCTGTTCTTTATCCTCTTGGGTTTTTGGATGAAGCGTTACGGACAAGAGGATGTCTCCCAAGGAAGCATCAGGTCTTGCTGGGTCTTGCAAGGATAGCGTTACGTCTATCGCTCGGTTTAAATCCAATGCTGTTAGATCCAAAGTAGCTGAACCCATAAAGTCGTCCTAAAATAACATTTATATAATAGGGTGATTCATTTCCGCAAAGTTTTTGTTTTCTTCGGTGCTCAAGCAAAATATTAATCTGCATATAGAAAAAAAAATTCTCAACAAGTTTGGGCTCTTAATATAAATTTTAAGTACTTACTATTTAAATTTAAAGTTTTACCGTTTAAAATGCATGTAAAAAATATATATTTTTTTTCAAATTTCTAATGCTTACCCACCTTTGACAATATTGCAAATCGGTTTAATACACCTTATGGGGAATTTCACGCTCATTTAAAATTGCTTTTGAGTTTTTTTTTGTAACTCGCATTGGTTCACCAGTAGGAGTCGTCAAAGGACAGTTTTTGAAAAAAAATCGTTTTTTTTTTTAATTTTTTTCAACAAACCGCAAAAAGTAGGGAGAAAAAAGGGCTGAATCATAAAAAAAAAGTTATCCAACCAATATTTAATGAATTTACAGCCATTTTTATAACTGAAAACGTAAGAAATTGATAAATACCAACCCATAATGTTATTTAGATTGATTTTTTCTATTTATTATCATTATATTTCCCTACACTAAGAACTTTTTTAAAATTATTATGATTTCTCACTCATAATGAATATGAAAACAACACATAAATTTATAAAAAAACAACAAAACTTTAATCTGAATATACAGAAGGTTATGTAACATATTTCAAATTTCGCTTCAAAAAATTAAATAATCTTCATTTATATTTTTTTGCTATATGAGAGAAATGTTGAAAAATTGCAATATCCACGTTACAATTTTCTTATTGTTTTTTTATGAATTTATCTGTTGTTTTCATATTCATTATAAGTGAGAAATCAATAATTTTAAAAAACTTCTTAGTGTATGGAAATATAATGATAATAAATAGAAAAAATCAATCTAAATAACATTATGAGTTGGTAATTATCAATTTCTTACGTTTTCAGTTATAAAAATGGCAGTAAATTCATTAAATATTGGTTGGATAACTTTTTTTTTATGAATCAGCCCTTTTTTCTCACTACTTTTGGCGATTTGCTCGAAAAAATAAAAAAAAAAACGATTTTTTTTCAAAAACTGTCCTTTGACGACTCCTACTGGTGAACCAATGCGAGTTACAAAAAAAAATCAAAAGCAATTTTAAAGAGCGTGAAATTCCCCATAAGGTGTTTTAAACCGATTTGCAATATTGTCAAAGGTGGGTAAGCATTAGAAATTTGAAAAAATATATATATTTTTTACATGCATTTTAAACGGTAAAACTTTAAATTTAAATAGTAAGTGCTTAAAATTAATATTAAGACCTCAAACTTGATGAGAATGTTTTTTCCTATATGCAGATTAATATTTTGCTTGAGCACCGAAAAAAAAAACAAAAACTTTGCGGAAATGAATCACCCTAATATATAACTTAATCAATCTTTTCATAGCAAACATTGGCTTAACTCCATTAGAGTGAAAGTTAGAGACTAACCTGCAATCCCCAGTCATAATCAAACACTTTAATTGAAATTGGAAGAAATGGATCCTCTATAGGCACCGTGAAACTTTCATCCCACAAAGGATTTAAATCGCGATACACTGTCCTTGATTTGTACACTAAACGTCCACCACACTTGAATTTCACGTAAGGATCACTTAGTCCTGAAACAAAATACTTATATTATATGGATATGTTTTTTATTAAATGATTTAAGCAAAACATATTTAAAAACAAAACTTCTTGCAACCTTATTATACCTGGGTCGTTTTCAAAAAACACCCGCCTTCCGCTGTCCGTAAGTTTGAATTCCAATAACTTTGTTAAAAATTATCGGATCTTATATATTGATTTAAAAACCAAGTGAAAGCCTAACAAGCCCTTAGTAAACTCTTTCAGAAAATGTTTGTTTAGTTATTTCAGAATAATTTTTTTTTAATTTTGAAACTTGTGAAACACACATTTTCGCATGTCCCATTAGCGTTTTATAAAACTTACATACATGTTTTTTTTTAATATTGAATAACCAGAACTTTGTGTTGCTTTATAGCAATCCATAATAACCTTAGTTAATACAGTAAACGATTTATATATAAAATAATTAATTTTAATCTACTTTTTTTAAATTTGACTCATGTCCGAGACATTTTTTTCGTTGTGTTACGTCCGTCGCGTTACCGATAGAATATTAAAACAAAACATATATATGGCAACTTTTTTGGTACACACGTGATCAACAAATGATGTTCGAACATACACATTACCCAGCTGAATTTATTTATAATTAATAGTAATAATTGTTTGTCCGCTAAGTTACTCAAAAAAATAATAAAAATAAGGTAAGAAAAAATACTATTTTTCATGTTTTTGTTTATTTTAGGGCACTAAAGCTCATTGAGAGTAATTAATGACTATAATGTCTTATAATAATATATTATTATTTTTTAAATATGGTTTTACAAAACTTTGTCCACTGCGTTACCGAGTCCACTATGTTACCTTATGGTAACGCAATGGAATTTAGGGTAACACAATAGAATTTTTCGACAACAAAGTGGATATTTACCGTCGCTAAAAGTAGTTTATGATAAACCAATTTAAAATTATTTGTAATTACAACTCATGATATAGATTACATCCAAGGAAAAATTCCACGCAATATAAAAGTACTAAAAGGGACCTTCACCAGCTTATAGTCAAAGAAAAAGGGTGTCTACAATTTAGAAATCTAAGTTGTTATTCTGCAAGTGAGCACCACTACAAAGGATTTTGTTTATGCATTACTCTAAAATCGTACCACCCTATATAGTTTTTTTTTACGTTATCTGATTAAGTGTGTACCCCTGTTTACGTGTTTATAAATTAGAGTTTAACTCACTAATACAGTGACTAAAAGAAAATATGAATGGTATTGATTTTTTTAACAAAGAATCGGAATGGTTTCTTTTAAAAAGTAACTTAACGAACATACATATTTAAAAAAAAGCATACAATTTTTAATAAAAAATAAAATAAAAAATTGGAGTCAAAAGTTTGTGAACTAAGTAAATTTTATTTCAAATTATTTTTATAACAACTTTTTTTATTGAATTAAATTTTGGATTTCAAATTGGTAACACAGTGGAGATATATAAAGCTAGCTAAACACATTTTTCTGAAAAAAACGTAAAAAAAAATTAAAAGTGCACTGCCTGTCTTAAATGTAAGTAAACAAAACTAAACATTTATAAAAATCCAACCAAAAGTCAATTTAAGCAAAAAAAAATTTGATCTTCATTTTCCTGAAAATGACCCATAAATAATTTTCATAACTTTGCACTTGGTTGAAATAAGAAACATTCAAAAGATTTTGCATAATGTATACACAATACATAAATACATAAATTATTAAAATAAAAAACCCATTATAAATACCTACGTTTAAATAGATAAAAACACTAATTATAATTGGTAAAAGGAACCAAAATAAGCCAATTTTAAAGAGCAAATTATTATTTATTAAGTTGCTATATAGCTGTTATGTAAATAAAAAATATGTAGATTTGGGAAACATTATTAATACCTACATAATTATAGGTATACGTTTTAAAACAAAATAATAATAAAACATAAAATTAGTAAATTTAGTTTTGGATTATTAAATAATTAAATTGTTTACCTGGACATGCCCCTAAGCCTTAATAAATAATAGGTATAAAAATATTGTATATTAATAACACTGCATGTGTTGTTAATCAATAAGTTAAAAGAATGTCTTCAATAAAGTTTTTGAAATCGAAATTTCAAGTTTTAAAAATTCAATCGAGATGGAAAATAGTCGAAATCGAATCTAAAATAGCAAACTATAAAGTACAAGTTCCGAATAAAAAATCCGAAATTAACGCACTAGACAACATTAAAAGAAAAATGGTTGCATTCAAAATAAGGGAATTGGAGAAGGAAAATATTGTGATAAAAGAACGTTTACGGTTATACGAAGATTTTTTACTGAAAATACAGGAATTTCATAAACTCCATCCAGAGATAACAGACGTTGATTTCTATCAATATTTGTCAATTATCATAGATGAATTGATGGCACAAAATTTATTATTAAGATATAAAGTTAAATTGTACGATAAGTCACTTTTAGAAACGTATAAAGCACAAAAGTATTTTGTAAAAAGGTTCTTAGAATACCATGACGAATATTGTTGGAATTTTAACACAGACAAATAAACACTTTTTTGAATGAACTACGTATGTATAAATATGTAAATAGATATTTAATGATAATAAAAATATAAAATAATTAGGCAGTTTTTATTTGCGATATCATACACACGTTTATAAAATTTGTGTTAAAAATAATGCCTGTTAAATATACATACATAAACTTCCTAGTGTTATAACAAAAATTATAATAATTAAAATCTTAATATTTCAAAAGATTTAACAAACATTAATGTGTTAAAATAAGAATGTTAAATAATAATTTTTTTGTACATTGTAGTATAATAATATGTTAATGTTATGTTAATTTCAATATAAAACATTAGTTTAAATAACTCCCAAACAAGTGTTAATCTAACTTAAAAATATTTGTTGAATATTTGAGTACAGAAAGTTTTTAATCAAATTAAAACAATTGAGTATTTTTTTTATTCAATTCAACCTTTGTCTTCTAACCTCGTTTATGATATATGATATGATGATAGTTAATTCGATTAGAGGTTTCTAATTGTAAGGTTAAGTGTGATTTTATATAGCGTGTATTTAACAAAATTTAAAGGTAAGTTTGCTATGATAATGTTTTTCTCACTTACATAACCTTTGTATCCCCAGAAATGTATTTTATTTTGGAATACAAAAAAAGGACTTGACTGTGCAATTTTAGTGAATTCCAATGCTTCCTCTGATAGCAAAATTTGATTTTAAGAATATTCTAAGAAGATATGACCCGGAATAATGGAATATTCTTAGAACCTTCCCTTATTGCTAAGAATGTTCTTAGGGACTTTTAAAACATTCAATAGATACCCTTTTAATTATGCAATTAGATTCTTAGAAGCTTCTTAAAACCTTCCTAAAAAGCATCCTAAGAACATTTTAAGAATACGTTTTTGAAATGTTCTTGGAAGGTTTCTTATGGAGCTTCTATAGGAAGCTTTTGAGAATATTTCCAAATATTTCAGATACCCACGTTCTAATATGTTGTATTCTACATTCGTAAGATTCTTCAGGAAACGACAAATACGCCTCACTGTCATAATATGACGTCCCCTTAAAAAAATTTGCGACATATTAATAAATATTTATTTAAAAATATTAAATAAAAGAAAAATTGGAAAATTTTGTGGGATAAGTCAGATTAGATTGAAGTTGAAGATAGTTAGGATTATTATACATAAAAATGTTAATTCTGAAATAAAAAATCGGTATACAAATTAATAAATATTTATTTTTAAGATAAAATAAAATACCTATAGTAAAAGTATTTTTGTTATCGAATATTGTTTTAATTTGACAAATAACTATAAAAAAATATTTTGGATTGTGTTTATTACTAATTAGGTACTTAAGTAAAGGTATACCTTTATACGTAGTTTATGGTATATTTTAGTATTATATAGGTAACTGAACTAAATATGCTTAACAGGAATATTCCTAAATGAACATTCTATAGCAATTACTTTCTTAACATTCTAAGCATATGTTTAGAGTAGACTAATTTTTACCACTAAAACTTTGCACCTTCTAAGACCAGTAAGAATATTCTTAGGATCATGCTATATGTCTTTTAAGCATGTTCTTTAGAAGAAATATAACATGATCTTAAGAATATTCTTAGAATAAAGTGTGCCATCAGGGCCTTTTTTTTAATTATGTTGTAGTATATAAAATTATTATTATTACATACATAAATGTTTTATTTTTTGTCCAAAAACCAATATTTTTATACTAATTTAAATATTTTATCAAAATAAATAAAAATAAACAATTATTAATGTAAAACACAACATGATTTGTTAAATTAACTTTGCAGTTATGTAAAAAAAAATAACATATATTAATTTTCTTTAACACATTCTGTTGTGTTAAAAATTAACATAAGTAATAAAAACTAAAAACTTTGAGTGGACTTTCTAGGACACAAGAAATATGTTAAATATACCTACATATAAATTTTTTACTGTGTAGTGTAAAAAGTTGTTACTTTTATGGAAAAATTCAAAATTTTCATGATTTTTTTTATTTAAAAACAGTATTGTCATAATCTTACCATTTTTATCCATGGCGACCAGCCTGTGTCCCCTGCGAAGATGAACACGAAGCTGAAAAAACGAATGTTGACGAAGAGCTTGTTCTCGCCTCCTAGTGATTTCATCGTTGGAAGACAACTGAAAAAAATAGTTATTTATGTCATTAGGTTAAGAAGTAAGGCTTTTTGTGCTAAGCTCAAGGTTTGAATTGAGCGAAGCACAAAAAGGCACTTCTTGGCCGAATGGCATACAACATTTTATCTTCAAAGCACTTTATATAGGTCAATTTAATTCAACATCAAAGCGGCCTAACCTCACTTTTTTAGAATCTCATTTATTTATTAGCTAAAGATTACATTAAATGTACAATAATTATTATTGCTTTTAGAAGCAGTAATAGTTTGACAATACCTAGCAACATGATTTAAGTAGAGATGGATTTTTGCTATTACATTGAATTCAATTAATTGTTTAATAAATAGGTAGGTATCTAATTTCAATTTGTTTGGTTTTTATTTAAAAAATAGGTAGTTTGGAATGTTTAAGCTGTGTTTAACATTTAATTTCACTGAAAACTTAAAGCAAATTAAAACTTAAAGATAATTTAAATCCTAGAAAAAGAATCGTGCGTTTTCTTGGTTGCCTAACCTCACTTTTTGTTTTATTATTCATATTTATTTTACAATAATTTAATGAAAAATGTTAAACATTAACAGTAAAACAAACAAATTAGTGCTTATTATAAATACCGCGTGGAGATAAAAATTATTATTATTAAAAGTAGAGAGTGAGGTAGAAATAATCAAGAGACCTCGTCTGGCAATATCCACCTCTCAGGGAAATGTGTCCAAAAGTGTTTAAATAAAAAAAAAATAAAAAAATGATTTAGGGTGATAAACTTACCGGCAAAAGGTCAAGGCCTGCCACAGCTCCGGGTGTTGGGGCACGGGGCCTTGGGGAACCCCCAGGGGAGCTCGTGTCTCCACCTGCACACGTGCGACTTAAGGGAGAGTCTAAAAAACAAACACACCTGTTAATTTATGCTGTTTTTTATATCCGTAACTAAACTAAACCTAAACGTAATTACCTACTTTAATTATTATTTTTTTATTAAAATTTGGTGTTGCTATCCTCCGTGAATCTGTTTTTGCTTTAAATTTTATGCAACGGATGGCGCTTTAATCATTTCAAATAAGCAAAAACCTCTGTTTACGACATTATAGATGCATGTGATTCCTGAAGGTCAGTTAGAATTTATATGCAGATGAGAGTGTTGCTGTTTTATAATTCAATTAATTTGCTATTTAAAAACCTATCCACCGTGAAGTCATTATTTTTTGTTTGTTTATTATCTCAGTATTACTTATTAGTTTTTTAGTGTGTTGTAGCAAATTTCTCTAATCAAATAATAAAATAATTATCGTTCTTTAATGTTAATTTTTTAATATTTTTGAAATAGTTTTGCGGATGCACACTGTATAATGTTTTAAAGTTAAGGTGGACAGCTACCTGTTAACATGATACTTAATATGTACAAAATACTTGTTTATGGGTAAAAATACAAAAATATTCCATTATATTTAGAACACAGGATGTTTATAAATAAAATGGTACCTATAAAAAAACAATTTTTGATAAAATCATAAAATTTGAATAATTATAAAATGTTTTTGAAATCACCCATTAATTAATCCACGTTCATTTATTTGTTAATTTTGATTTGTCTATGAATATTAATTTTTACTTATAATAATTATTATTTTAAAATATATATAGTCTGTTTTTTATTTTCAAAGTTCATTTCGTAGAGTAGAAAAAACTATAAAAAACCAACTGTACATTTAATGACTCCGAATAAATTAAAATCATTAAAACATTTTATTTTTTGTTCATGCATTTATTATAAAATTATAAAATCTAAATTAGTCAAAATTAATAATTTTAATTACTATTATAAAAATAATTTCTTTTTTGTCAAGCGTAGGTATAATAATTTTCATTTATATTTTCAAATTATTTAATTAAATGCTGGAAAAAAATATTAAGTATATAATATGTGTATATATATAATATGTATGTATTATCCCAATTTGCTTTTAATTATCCATACATTGTTTAAGTTTTCCACCACTTATCTATTTTGTATTCGTAACCTAGGTTGTAACCATGGTAAATTTGGAAGGTTAAAAAACTAACCTCACTTAAAGTGACAGATATCTAACCTCAACTCTACGTCATTTGTTGGGGGGAAATTAAAAACGGTATATTCTCTGAGTTTTGAGGTGATTTAAGCACACTGCAAATTTCGGCGACTTGGCCTATATGTATTTCAAATTTATACAGGATGTTTCACATTCGTGGTCCATGATAATTTTCTGGGGAACGATAAAAGATATCGATTTGAAATTTTGAAAGCGTTTATAGTTTATTTAAGTCTATTTTTTTTAAATTATTTTAAACAAAATTCCACTTCCGGTTTAACCGGAAGTGGCATCAACTTTGTTATTTCATATAGAAAACTGCATATATTTTTACATTTTTAAATTCTACATAAAATTCTGAGTTAAATTACTATACCATGTCCTATACCTAAAGTGAATGGTTTTTGAGTTATTAATTTTTTTGAAAAAAAATCATAAATAAATGATTTAAACAAAAATTTGTATAGAGCGCCATCTATGAAACAATAGGGGAATCTGTGTGTCACCGTCAAATGTCAATTTTTTTATTTTATAAACAGATTATAAAGGTTATAAATCGAAATGTATTTCTTGAAAATTGACAGTTTTTAACAGTGAAAGTAATGAAAATGTTTTATGAGCACTTTACAGTGGAATCCGTGCCCGAATTTAAGTTATAGTTTACTGCCGGCGAAATGTTCATATAAACTTTTGAAATATTGGCGTTGAGAAACTATTTAATACTTTTGTTTTTTTGTATTGAAGGTGGGAGTGGAAAAAATTATCCCACCCAAAATTTTTGCAAAATAGATGAAATAGCAGTAAGAATAAGAAAATGTTAAATGTAAATTGGGGACCTTTAAACATTTAGTAATAAATTAGTAATAAAAATTGTTAATTACCCGTCACAGGTTTCTTGATACAAAATTATATTTTAGAAATTGTTAAATATCTATGAAATTATTAACTTTAGGCATAAAAATACCGGGTGTTAAGTTTAAAATGAAAAGTTATAAACTTTCAAATTTTAACGAAAAAAATTAATATCTCGAAAACTATTCACTTTAGGTATAGGACATGGTATACCTAGTAATTTTACTCAGAATTTTATATAGAATTTCCCCAGTAACTTTTAATGCATAAAAAACCTTTTCTTGAAGGTAAGGAATCCTCATACGAATCATACTCATTCTCTGAGTACTTCTTGTTCCTGCTGAAAAAACTGGGACTTTCGCTTCTCCTGAAGAGCTCACTAACAGGACTGCTGGAGCACTTAACACTGTTAAAATCACTGAACGTCATCTTGGCACTTTCAATTTCGTCGTTGCTGTCAAAGTTCATCTCTTTGTAGAGGCCCTTGTCCATTTTGGATGACTGCGTGGGATCCATTTTTCCCGAAACCCTCAAAATTCGAAATTCATCAGCTCGCACCTCCACAAAACAAAGTAAAGTGTCCGAGCGAGGAACTGTCGTTATCTTACGAAAACATGTTTATTCCATTAGAATTAATTTTGCTCTTTGATTATCATTGCACCAGTAAACGTTTATTGCTTATTGTTTCAATGATGTTTTTTTCGTTCGACCAACACACTTGTACTGAGTACTATACTGATCCTTGGCCATGAATTGACTCAAAAAAAAAAAATAATAGGCAAATATGCCGCCGTTAATAAAATTAACTAATTAACTAAAAACAAGATTGGCAAGGTTAATGCGAATTTTAACTAAAAAACTATCAACGAAACAACCAAAAAGAAACTTGCTAAAAATGTCAAATATGGTGAATTCCCCATAGTAAATATTTCGGCATTATACACCCATTCGACATTTTTTATTATACATATTTAAATACATTTTAAATTTATTTCGTGTACCTATTAGTTACAAATTTCAAAACATGTAAAGCTACTTTGAATACTTATGGTTTCTTAATTGTATATTTGTAAGTACAAGTAATAATCACAAGGATTTGTTTGTTCATTAAAACTAATTTACTCTTGTTATACCAAACTTTAAAAATATATTAAAGTTTTAGATAAGTATTCGTTGTTTTTATTATAAATAATTGCAAAAATGATTATTGTTGTTCAATAATGATACCGTCATTTTTAATGACAATTTTATTGTTATCATAAAATGCGTAGGTATAAAAATAGTTTTTGTAAAACTATTTTAAACAAAGGAAATAAATTAAACAGTGTTATACATTTATATATATGCAATAATTAAATACATCTTCTATACAACCCATGTCATTAATTAATGCATATCTTCTAACTTGACACTTGAAAATTAATGAATTTTTAGTTTTTAGTTTTATAATAATAAACGGTGGTTCAACCAAAATTATCAATCTGTCATTTTCGTCTACGATTTTTTTAGAATTAAAGTTCTTTTTTTTATCTGGACTGCGGCAACGTTGCAAATTTAGGGTTTTCGTTGGTAAATACAGTTGTCAAGTTGGTCGTATTGATTAAAACAAACTAAGCTAGTTATAAATCTAATTGCGGTTATGTATAAATTATTGTAGGTTACATTGTGCAGTTGTCAAGTTGAGTTGTCGAAATTCGTAGTTAAAAATGCAATTAATTTGGCTTTGGTGGTGCTTGGATGAGTAAAATCATATAAAAAAGTAGTTAAATATAGGTTGCTTTACGGCCCAGAAGAGAAAGTATTCCTAGCGGATAATAATCTTCGCTTTGAAAAGAATTTATATAAAAGAAATTAAAATTTTTTGTGAACGTAAATGTTGTCCAATGGTGAATAATGTGAAAATATTGTGATGTAATATTTATTAAACCAAATTCGTTACTTTTTTACTCCAAAAATGTCCATAAGGCGATGTACTTTTTCTTCCATTGTGGCATTTGGCATAATTTCATCAAAATGAAGTTTTGCCCTCAAAAGGGCTTTTACATTCGAATTCGTTGCTATTATTTTTGGCATAATTATCTATTATTTATAATTGACAAGTAAATTATCAATAATAAATAATATTGTCAATTTGACAGTGTCAAAGTATTTAATTAAATTCTTTAGCAGAAGTACCATTTTTAAATACAAAAAATACCAAGTCAAACTGGCATAAGCCACCAACCCAACAAAAAAACACCAGTCCAGAAAAAAATGAACTGTACTTTCTCTGTAAAAAACTGCCTCTATATCAAATTTAATTGTTTGTTAGTCTACATATATGAAGAGATAAATTTAGATCTTTCTGGAAAAATTTGACGACTAACAGGGCCATTTTAAAATCCGGTAAAACAGATTCACAGGTTACTTTATTTTTGTGTAGATGTCGCTCTATAAAAATATTTAAATTAATTGATAATGCATTATTTTTTATACCCAAAAATATTTGTTGGAAAAAAGTTTCCTATACACTAATTTTATTAAACACTCACTCGCAAGCTCTCTCGTGCCTAACTAAAATTCGTGACTAATCGACTAGGACTCTGGTTGCCTAATTTAATTAATTATGTTATGGTTGGTAACAGATTCTGTCAAAAAGTTGCCAAATTTTGTTTAAATTTTGCTTAATTACAATAATAACAAAATCAACAATGCAATTGTTAATTTGGCGTTTTTATTAATTGCTTATTATGTCATTTTTGTAATGAAGGTAAATTTTAAAAAAATCTGTCATCTATGACAGAATCTAGTGCATTTCTTTCAAATTTTAGGTTATGTGCTCAAATTGTAAATATCTTCCCAAGTAACATTTTTAGTTTTATTATGGTCTTCAAGAACGCTTTAAAACAAAAAATAAATTCCTTTATTAAAACGCTTTACTCTTATAGACCTCCTGAAGATATCCTCGCAACCTTAATAAGCTAAAAAAGGCGCATCTTATTAAGGTTCTTGCATCGCCTATTTTAAAACCAAAAAATATTTTTAAAAATTAGCCTAAAGTAGTCTTAAAGGTAACTTAAAAAGTCAAAATAGGTTTAAAGCTTACTTAAAGAAAGCTTTAAGACTACAACAAAACCAATTAGTTTTAAGATATACTTTTAAATGACCACATTAAAACCAGGTTTTTTGGTATAAGTCTACGAAGACTTAAAAAGGTACTCAGGGCTTCTATAAAACTTATGTGAAGATAATATTAAATCCTTTTTAAGACAAAATTTAATGTAATAAGAGGAACTACACTTAAAGATGGATTATATTGGTTTTAATAATTATAGTATAATGTATACTTATTTTATTAATGTCTTATGCAGGTATTATAATATATTATATTTGTATGACCTTAAGTTATTGTCTACGACGATCTGTTGTTTAAGATTTATAATATAATATTATGTTATTTATTATATTTAATAGTACGAGTATTAGTCTGGCCAAAATATTAAACGCAATTTTTTTTATTGACTAAACACTATAAAATAGCTTCAAAATATACATGCGCTTTACAGTTAACGTAAATTAAAAAAACAAAAACATTTTTTTAATAATATTTTATTATATATTTTAAGCTGATTCCGTTACATGCACTGTGGGATAAAATAGTTTTAATATGTTTTGCGATAGAAACAAAATTACTAAAACAAACTTTGACCCGATAATAACAATTTAACAACTCAGATATCTTGGGTGTATATATCGATGGGTTTAAGGCAAAACGGCACAAGCGCCAAAATTTTCGAAAATTTGTTGAAGTACAGGTCGATAGAGAATTTAATCGATATATATATATATATAACCGGATGGTCGTTACATGCGGTTGTTGTTTAGTGTTGAATACAAGGTCATTTTTTTAAATATACCTAAAAGCTATATATGAATAGTTCGTTATAACCGCGTTGTCGTCATATACGGTTGTTGTTTGGGGTTTTATATAAAGTAGATTGTTTTAATATACTTAAAATCTATAAATATAGATTTTAGAGAATTTAATCGATATATATATATATATAACCGGATGGTCGTTACATGCGGTTGTTGTTTAGTGTTGAATACAAGGTCATTTTTTTAAATATACCTAAAAGCTATGAATAGTTCGTTATAACCGCGTTGTCGTCATATACGGTTGTTGTTTGGGGTTTTATATAAAGTAGATTGTTTTAATATACTTAAAATCTATAAATATAGATTTTTGGTGTAATTTACTTAAAATCTATAAATATGGATTTTTGGTGTATATTAAAACAATCTTACCCTATATTAAACCCCAAACAACAACCTAATATAACGAACTATTTATATATAAATTTTAGGTATATTAAAACCAACTAACCTTATATTAGTGACCAACACCAACAACCGGATATAACGACCACCTGGTTATAACAAATTATTTATATTTAGATTTTAGGTAGGTATATTAAAACAATCTAACATTATATTAAACTCTAAACAACCGGATATAACGACCACCCGGTTATAACGAACTATTCATATTTAGATTTTAGGTATATTAAAAAAATATAGATTTATTATAATAAACTAACCTTATATTGAACATAAAACAACAACCGGATATAACGACCATCCGTTTATAACAAACCATTCATATTTAGATTTTAGGTATATTAAAACAACCTGACATTATAATAAACACTAAACAACCGGATATAACGAGCACCTGGTTATAACGATCTATTCATATATAGATTGTAGCCTACATATAATATAAGGTTAGTTTATTTTATTATAGGTACCTACAATTTGTAGGTATATTAAAATAAACTAACCTTAGTTAGTTTAAGTTGACTTTAGATTTTATATATTTCTATTTTGAACATACATACATGTAAATATTTTAGTATGTTCAAAACAAAAGTCTATAAATTCTAAAATCAACAAAAACGACACTAGCTAAAAATAATGACAATTGTCATTAAGTTTCATTAAGGTCATGGTAAGTTTCTCCACATTAATAAAATTATCTAAAACTAATAAAAATATTAGGTATAATAGGTATCTTATACCTGGTATTATAATTATTATTTAGGTATATTTTACCTAGTATAACACAACCATCTGAAAACCTAGTGAATTTTTAATAAATAAAATATTTCCTATAATAAAAATATTTTATTCCACCGTGCAACATATTCAGCCATTTTAATCTACTAAAATAATAGTAATTGATAAAACCAAAACTGTCAATAATAAAACCATTAGACTTTATTTCCTACCTGAGAAGAGCAACTTTACTTAGTTAAAACCATTTTTCTTTAATAAGGACTTAAAAAGGTTTTTATTTAAATTTCATATATCTTCATAAAACCTTTTTAAGTCAAAGGGGTTTTATTCTTCGCGCCAATATACCTAACCTTATTTACTATTGTTAGAGCCAGATATGGTTGGATTAAGCTCATAGAGTATAGTTAACTTTAGGTATTTAAGATGGTTTTTAAAATAGTTCAAACTTGTGAAGATGGACATGTGCTTGTCTATCGTTCTGAGTGAATGGGAAGAGCGTGCAATGTTGTTCTGACCAAAGAACAAAGTTTTGGTCGCAAAACTTAAAAAAAATAGAAACCTCCATTTTCTATAAAAATGTCCACTTCTTGTTTTACAAAAAAAATCGTCTATGAATGTAGACATTTTACAATACGTACGTACGACACTACGACAATCGTGGAACTAATAGTTTATAAATTATAGTTCCAGCTGTTTAAAGACTTATAAGGGTTTTATTCAAATAAAAAAAGTTTTATTAAGTATTTAAAAATTTAAAAGGAAGAGCATTATAAGACAGAGCTTTAATAAGGGTTCCTTAAAAGCAAGATAGTTTTAAAAGTTCCTTGCTTAAGCTGACTACAAGAACGCTTTAAAACT